CTATCAAGAAATATTGACTGAAATACCACAATGGATAAAGAATTACCTGTAAGCAGATTAAATACCATCGAATAATGGTTAATTAATCAATCAATCAGACTCTAGCTACTCATTGATTTTTCCCTTAATTTTATATTTATATTCATCATATATAGTTTCATCAAGTAATTTGGTTTCCATTTTAATATTCCATAAGGTAACTGAATTCCTCCAACCTGAAGTACATACTTTATTAGTATCCTAACAATGAATTAACAAATGATGTTAAGCTAGAATTAGAAGTTCGTACGCACTTGGATCTAATGGAGAAGATTTGTAGCTCAGGTGGATTATTTTGAGGTAGTTGTGCTTTCATTGCCCTACTAGACAATATCTTCAGCAAATACTTCAGTTTGAAGTGAGCTTACGGATTTCTCCACGATTTTATAAGTCATCTCCCTGGTGACGTGATCGATTGTTTTTGAGTGTTTCCACAACCTCTAGGTTACCTGTAATGGTACTGATTGTTTCCTCGACCTGAAGTTTGACCCTTTGTGTATGAGGTTCCCTTCTTATCGACTGGTAAATTTTGTCTATTTCAATGTGTCTATGGATTGACAATTCACTGGAATACCAGGCTTCTAAAAATTCTCTGTCTAATATTTGAACATTGTCCCAGTCGAATTCGAATGGGACTTGAGATGACTTATAAGCTCATGAAGAAAATCTAAAAGCTCACTTCAAATTGAAGTATGCACTGAAGATGTTGCCTAATAGGGCGATGAAAGCTTCACAAATAAACCATTCAGCTCAGAGAACACAACTACATCAAAAACAGTTGGATCCCCTGACTAGTTTAAATTAAGCAAAGACAGGGATAATAATGGGATTAAAAGATCTCAGTTTATTTCGCAGCCTTTTTGCAGCAGTGTCTGACAGTCTAAATATAAATACCTAACATACTTTAACATTTAATTCAGTTAACAGCTCTCAGTATAGTAGTTGGATAAGGGGGCTTGAATACAAGATAGGTAATGTCAAGTTTATTTACCTACCATAATCATTGCTGAGTGTAATTGTGTAGAGTTTATGAACACTTGCATTAAAAACTGATAGCTGAATAATAAAATTTTTTTCACTTTGTAATCTGATAATCTTAAGTGTGTACTGCCGAAAAGTTATAAACTGAAATGAAACAGCACTCCAATGCTCATCTTTTTTTGTCCAGAGTTTGTTTTATTGTTGTTGTTGTCGTCAGTTACCTACAAAATCTACGTTCCAATCGTTTTGATTCCCACAAAACGTGTCTTCCACAATCAACCTAATTTGAACACGCTTTATTGTTGACGTCCATATAACTCAAAGAAAGCGGGTAATATTGATCTCTATCAAGTAATATGAAATCCAGATTAAAGGCGTTATGTAATCATGCGTTCATGTTGACGATAAAGTGCAAGCTATTAGAGCAATGTAATATATAGAATTACCAGTGAAACTAAAATTACGATACGTAAAAATCTAATATATTTGAATAACTATCTATTCCAAGAGTCCATGAAAGAATAAAGCTGTGGGAAATACACAGGTTTCAATAATAACTATAAGACGCCTTATGAAGTCGTAATGAATCCTTCATACTTCCATTTATCACGTCATGCTTTCACATGATAGAAAGTCCAGTCGTTTTTTTTACATCTGCTACTGTCATAGGCTTTAACTAAATAGGATATTTCAGGTATTTATTTCATAAGAATGGTTACGAAACAAAGAATATTCTTTTCGATAACCTGCTGTTCATCAGGTTCTACAGTTATGTGTTTACATAATAGTGAACGAACTAATGTTATTAACAACATTAATGCTGTTTAAATAACATCGAATTAATAATAATATCAGTGGATTACAGTTCGATAGCATCAACATAACAATACACTGAATGTCAGAAAAATTAGGAAAGATAATAATACAAATTCATGAATTTATAGTCTCTACTGAAGGTTGGCCAGGGCAGTCTTAGTGGTCGGATTTGCTTCTTTCGAACACAAAGCATTAGTTGTTTCATGCGAATTACGATAGCCTCTGCTGTTTGGAGTATGCAGTATTTGGATGTTTTTGGCAATTTATTTGGTACTTGGTGTATGTTAGAGAAGGATTTGTCAATGCCGGCTTTGTGGCCGGTTCGGACCGAATGGTCTAATATTGAACTGTTGCTGTTTTCCACTACACGTTTACCTAGCCATAATGGGAGATGTTCTCGAGGACGAAAAATCAAGTTCCTAGAGCAACGGCCAATACAACCCCATCCCACAAGCGCAGTTGAATTGGTAGATACAATTTGAAGTGGCTAGCCTAGGCACTTTATCTTTCAGTCGAGGAATCACCTTCGATCGCGTAGAAAATACGACTTGTAGTTTACTAGCATAAGAAGTTCTTTGAATACATTTTCTTAACTTGTTAGTAATTGTTTCACTAAGTGCGTCACTCTTTAATTGCAGTCGTATATATAAAAACTTATTTACTTATGGAGAATAGTCCTTTTCTGCTTTCTTGGTCATGTGTTTCTTGATGAACTTTTCTGGATAGCTATTTTCAATCTAGCTATCATGCAGAATTCTTAATTTATCTTCAATTACCTCTTCTGAGTATATCCCGGCCTATAACTGCTACCTTGTCGTGGTGGTGGGGCTTGTATACCGTAATGACCCAACTTGCTAAACTGACTGGGACTCTGTCCCTGCGGGGCCTACCATGTCAGGAAGATTTTCTGGATAGAGGTTAAACTAAAAGCAATTACCATGGGGTACATGGGCTCCAGTATCCAATTGGATCTAATGGCGTATGAAACCATATGGGTCACCGTCAACCATGGGAATGCACCTCCTGACGCTGCTCCGCTGCCTTGCGGATTAGACTCCAAGTCAAAGGCTCGGGGGCTGGTCCCTTAATAAAACCACCTGCTTCGGTCTGGGCGACCGGGCAGTATCTCAGCCCTCACACAATGAATTGAATAAAGCAACAAACAATCAATGAAACTTATCGCGTGCTATTACACGTATTGCAATTTCCTTCTTTCTTCCCTTCCCAATGATAGTTAACGGATAATGTTTGAACTTGTTAAGCATGATTGTTTTCATTCCAGATGAAGTTCTTTATCCGTTCTCTACTTATATATATTTTCTCTTCTTCCTTTTGATCTATGTTGTTTTATTATTATTGTGTGGTGCATCCTTCTTGGTGCCATATTGTACCAAGTTTTAATGCGTTTAAATAAATAAATAAAAAAACTTCTGAGCATATGGCTCTAACCCAGTGGCTGAGAGTCTTAACTAAATTTCTTTTGTATTTCTTGGCTAAATAATGCTGTATTTAATATGCTCATATTTAAAAAAAAGCCCAATATATTCTAAATGTCAATGTACTAGAATAAGTAAAAATGTTTAACATAAATTAACATCCATCATTTATAGCTAATAAATAAAGTTTTTTCAGTTGAATACCACTTTCGGTTCACATCTTCAATAGTAGACGCATTTATTTGATGTTCTCCTAAACATGCTCGGTCTCAAAAAGCTCTCATGTAACCACGCATTCAGTACTTCTGCCAGGTAGGTCCTATTAAGTTCCTTCACGTGGTGATCTTTAGGAGAGCAAAAGGGTAAATGCAAACGTCTGGACTGGTGGACATGCAGGTCTACTTACCTAGAGGAGTTGGAAAATCCTGATTCCAATCGCATGGTGTATATAAGCTCCAGAATCTGAATGGATCGAATGGTGTATAAGCCTGTTTTGGTCACCAGGATCTTTGAGAACACTTCTCCTTTGACTTGTGAATCGAGTTAAAGACTCCGAAGGTGTCTACATAAGATAACGACTTACTTCGGTGTCAGCGTTTGGGTAGTATCCTAGTATTCACACAATCTATGGGACTGTGTGTGGTGCATTCCTTGTGACTCATAATATATCCAGTTTTGTTATTTTAAGTAATAATTAATCCATTTATTCACTGTCCAACTAATTAACTAACTGACCAGTGATTCCTACTGTGAATTCAGTTCAATGCTTTGTCAAAATTTTTAATTGAAACTAAACTGAAATCCGTTGAAGCAGCTGGATCTGATAAATTGCCGGAGTTAGGCAATTTGATAATTCGTTTTACTTAGTGATATATCTGTTGATATATCTATAGTGATATATACACCTGTATATATATATATATATATATATATAGGTATTGCTTAAGTTAGAGAACCTCTAAGAACGAGAAAGACGGCTGTTTTGCCTTTCTTTGGGACTCTTCGGAGAAACTCGCCCATGACCCTTCTGGCGATGGAACACAAGACCTTCAGGTTACGAGGAGAGCTTGTTGGCCATTCTGTCACTGTGATGGAATCCAGTAGCCCGTGAATTTTAACTTTTGACAATTCCTTCCCCGCCCGAGGTCATAGGTGAGTATTTCTAAAGAAACCTGAAGTAGGATAAAACAGCTACTCAGTGCTCTCTGCCTATTTTTTAGTGGTTATCTGACTAAGGTTAGTTGGTGATCAAACTTGAAGTCAGTTAAACCCCTTGCAAACCAATGCTTGAAAATTAACATAATACTCACTAATGACCGACTGTCGGATGAAGTGGTTTAGAGTTCCGGGGGGGGTGGTCCATGAAGTGATTTGTGAGAACAACTACTCTCCGATGACATTATCTGGCAGTACCACCAAATATCCTCAATTGGCAGAATTTATGTACCATTTGACAACGTCTTAGTGGTTGAATAGTCAACGCGCTGGTCTCGTAAACTAAAAGTCGATTTCGATCCCTTGAAGGGTCATGAGTGAGTATTGCGGAATTAAGAGGAAATGGAGCTGTCCAGTACTTCCTGGTTCTGAGTGGTTTTTAACTAATATTAGTTCCCATTTGATTCACATCAATTAACCCTGATGTTATTTAAACTTTTTATGGAAATGAAAATAAACTATCCCATTTATTGTTTTATTTCAGAATAATTTTTCCCCATCACTTAAACGTGAATGAATCAAATACTCTCAGGTATACTAAAATTTACAAAAGTTGGTAAAGACGCCTATCTAAAACAGTTGAAAGGACTCGGTGAAAAAACAAAAGTAAGTTTAATTTTTTGCTTTTTTTCACCTACTACTGACTTGTTTATTAACTTCTTTATTGAAGTAGTAATCATTCTGTTTCATTATTCTTTCAGCCATTAGCTGCTGTTATTTCATGTGTTGATTCACGTGTTATCCCATCGAAATTTCTATGCTCAAATATTGGTGAATTGTTTATTGAAAGAAATCCAGGGAATTTTATTTGTTTTGAAAATTCAGCTTTAAGTCAATTCAGTGAAGTTTGTGTTACACCAGGATTTATCGACTTTATATTGTTTCGATGTAAAATCAATGATATAATTATATGCGGTCATTCAGATTGTCGAGTAAGTTAGCCAGATAACCATTTATAATCCCCTCTCTCACTCTCCCTTTTTTATTTGTGCGAATACTTTTAATTTAGTCAATCAGTTTGATAATTCATCGATTTCAAGATAAGATCCATTACACGCTGAAAATGTACATCGGTGTCACATCGGTAGAATGCCTGCCAACCACACATGTGGTGCGGGGTTCAGTCCCCGGCCGACGCACTCCAAAACCTCGCTAAGCCAGTAATAACACTGGTAAAGAGGGAAGATTGGGCGTGAGACTAGCAACCTCATCCCTTAAAAAATAAAACACCACTGACACGGAAACTTCAAGCCTCTAGCTTGAAGCCGTATATTTCACAGGGAACGTGAAGGAATTTAAAAAAAGGCACACATTGAAATTGAGCAGATGGTAACTGAAAATGTTTCTTTTTTATGAGTACTTATCATGATAATCTCAAAGCATTTTCATCAGGACTGACTGAGTGAACGATAAACCAGATGAGCACATTTTACAGGAGTGAGTATATCAATTAATGTTACTGGAAATCCTAATTTCAGCTGTAATATGACACTATATATATATCTGTATGGTGTGGAAGTCGATAAACACTTTATGTTGTCAAAGAGAATCTTTTCTTACTGTCTTTCGTGATGTTTCAATTCCATTCACAACTCTCCCATATTGAGAGACTAACTGATACTAATGAACAGGGTTATGTTGTAAGAAATCTTTTTCTGTGTAGACGTCTACTTTCGAGTATTTCTTTGGCTTTGACTGATATTTCAGGACCAATATTCAAATAAATTGTAATTGCTGATGTGCACATTTATCGTGTGTTATTATTGCATATCCCCGCTAGTTGTAGCGTCGTAGTCCGTTGCTATGGTGGTTTAATCACAAATTATATATTTTTTATACGCTTTTTACATGAAGCTGTACATAAAAACTCTTTTCTGATATACATAATATTGCGCTGCGTCATATTTAGTGCACTTTTATCAGAAAATGTCTCATGATACTGAGATTTGCACTTTGTGATGGATTAAGGGAGACATTAACTTCAAGAGTTAAATGTATATTCTTGAATTTTCATGTAATCATGCTACTGTATTTGCCATTTTTATTGAAACGTGCTAATATCTACCGGATAAACCAGGTGGCACCACTTCAAAAAGAAGGATATGCTAATATAATTGTTGTATTTGTTTTGAGTATACAAAACGTTTGGATTCACCATTTATCTAAACAAGGAGCTGTTAAGCAGAGGTTTTGTCAAATGTATCGGGAAAATTTAAGTTTGCTTTCTTAAACGCCGCTCTGATTTACTTTAAATTTTTTTAAATTTTATTCCTTTACGTTCCTGATGGAACAAAGGGCTTCAAGCTAGAGCTTTGAAGTTTCAGTAGCAGTGGTGTTTATTTTTGCGAGGTGGGGTTGCTAATCTTATACTCAACTTTCCTTTTTTACCGATCTTACCACCGGCTTAGCAAAGTCTAGGAGTGCGTCGGCCGGGAATCGAACCGCAAAACATATGCGTGGTTGGCAGGAATTCTACGGCAGTACTGCTAATGCACCATTTACTTTAAAGTATGTTATCTTATAGTAGTTTTAATAAGGGATGCTAACGTGACTTTATAGTGATATCATATGCTGCTTGGCTGATGCATCCTCTCCTTTCAGTAAATTCTTGATAGTTTCTCCATTTCTCTGCTTTCCAAGTAGAAAATAGGGCTTCATACTTGAGCTTTAAAATTGCAGTAGCAGAGGCGTTCTCTCTTCACGAGGAGGAGTTGACAACCTGACGCCGAAACGTTTCCCTTTGTCGTTTTTACTACCCACTAGGTTACAGTTTAGAAGTGTGTCAGACAAAGGTTGATCCCAGATCACATGAGTGATTGTCAAACAGTTTACCATTGAAAAAACTGACGCAGATCTTATTCATTTAATTCTGTTCGAGGTTCAAGACTTGTTGAATGAAATAAGTAGTGTGACCTTAATATCAAGTCATTTAATTTAATTAGTCTGTTGGTATTGGTTGATATCCTGTAACGAACCGAGTCCCCGTAAACCAACACTTGGTAATTATTCAAGTATTGGTTTGTAGAGATTTGGTAGATTGGTTAGAGGATTTCATCATGAGCTGACAATGGTTAGAGAACCATTGGAAAACCTGGGAGCACTGGACAACTGTTTCGTCCTAGTTTAGGACTCTTCAGCAGTACGCACCCACTTGGTAATTAATCTGATTCTCATTGGCGACCGCCTCTATAAAGGAAGTTAACTGGGGTTCTAATGACAAGTTGTAACCAGAGGGGAATCCACCAAGTCAAGCAAGTGGACAGTTACCCTCCTGTGATACTGACTGGAGATTGCGCTAAATATATACCACGAATTGACAGAAGTTGGAGTTCATGGACCATTGGGTTAGGTCCCAGTGACTGAAAGGTTTACGAGCTCACCTCATAGCCGGAAGGTCCTGGGTTCGAATCTCAGTGGGCGCGTTCCGCTGAAGAGCTTTAAACTAAGACGAAGCAACTATCCAGTACTCCCAGGTTATCCAGTGGCTTTCTAAATGATGTCGGCTCGTGACCAGTCCTGTAATATCTAAAAGCTAATTTATTTAGGCGCTTCAATTTCAAAGCGTGTTATGGATAAGCATTAAAAAAGTTATGCTCCTAACACTTTTTCGAGGTCTTCGACGCTATGAAATACATATTTGTCCCACTAAAGAGTGCTAGTTAGGTCAAAATCTAAGTTAATGACCTCCTGCCAATTGACTTCAACCAGATGCTTGGGTGAAGTGGTAATACAATTCGTATTGGGGTAGCAGAAATTTGGAGTTCCTTTTGTATCCAAGTTGTATGCAGCTATGAGTTAAGCGATACACTTTCCTATAGTTCGACAGTTTTTCAAATCAGGCGCCAAATATCTTATTTTTCAAGATCCAAGCGGTATAATAACATTTCATAAAGCGTAACTAACCATCTAGCATACAATAAATTTTGTTTTGTTCATATTTATGCTAAAAAGGAACTTAAAGCACTTCAAAGAAAAGTGGAATTATTTATTTGTTTATTGATTTAATTATAGCTTGATTCCACAACATATACAAGTATAAAAATTTCAGAATGTGATATCGGTAGCCTGAATTCTGCAGGCCGACCAACTGATATCAGGTGTGAGTGGGCAGGGGATCGAACCCCGGACCATTTACATAGTCAGTGCCACTGGCACACACAAAGTGCTCCCGCGCCGCGAGTCAAACCCCGTCCGCCTGGGTGAAAACCAGGAATCCCCAAACAAAAACTTTTATCTTATAACCCTCTCAAGACAGCAGCATTATTTCAAGGCAAGTTCACCAGCGAGACGTATTAATTTAAGTACCGTTAGAAACTGAGGTGCAGCAAACAGCTTTTTCGTCTTCGTTCTTATCTCTGCAACGATGCGCACTGGTAGATATTGAACCTAGAATGAACAGATTAAAAGGCATCACTTAGTCCATAGAATGTGGACTGCACCTAAATATGCAAAATAAGTTTCTATATTTTGTACATATTAAACATATATACCTATAAAATGACCTTTTAAGGTAAAGTCGAAGGTCATGTGACCGAAGTACTAGTAGTATGAAATGACAAAAAAACGTAGTTCAAGTGCATTAAGGAATCAATAAGTGTTGAAATGAATGTATGGCGAAAATCTGTAATATTTTTATTATTAAATTTTCAAGTATAATGTTTTTGTTCCATACTGATTTTCGTTATCGTTATTATTATCATTACAGTATTGTCATTTGAACGCTAAAATCCAATAAACTGATCCTATGTGATAATTTTGTTAACTGGAATAGAAGGACTTTGTGTATTGTTTCATATTTCCTTTTAGTAATGTTTCTTTAGTCTTAACCAACCTAGTTGAATTTGCCACCAAAATTTTATTCAATAATCAACTGATATACTTTTAAATTTTACAAACAAATTGACAACAATTCTTGGTGAAAATTGACCAATCATTTTTTTTATTTAAATATAATATTTAACAATAACAATAAATAGACAATGTCTGAAATAAGGATATTTGAAAAATAGATGGCCTGGATATAGGATAAAGCTTCAAATAGCTGATAAATTGGATGTTTTTCTACCTCATTTTTGTATATATATAATAGAATAAAATACCTTGAATTACCCACTGTCCTAAATTTAGATGAACAGGTTAGAGATCAGTGCTGATTTTCTAATATAATTCCAAGGATTGACCAGTGTTTATTCAAGTTAGTTGAATGAGAACTTTTTCAAGCTTAGTTAGAATTATATCGCGAAAAGCAACTAGCTTGTAAATATTATTCATATTATAATTACTTATTCAAGATTCTAATCCCCTGTTGATATATCTAAGCGAGTTGATCAACTTAACTTCGTAAATGAACTCGTTGAACGGATGTCTCGACATTACCACAATTACTGAGTTACCTGTTTGGTGGTTAGTTATTACTATTTCAGACACGTCGCTCTGATGAACCTACATTCTTAGTAAGTGACGCTGCCTCGTTTGACAGTCGAACCCAGAAATCATCGCTTCAAATGCTCAGGCGTTTTCATTCAGGCTATAAAAATCACCTTTTGTACAACGAGTAATAGTTACTATTTGACAATATTATTATTTCTTAACTCCTTTATGGATAAGATTTTATTTTGATATATCACACGGTGTTATACAGTAATATTAAGTGATAACGTTTCGAGCACGAACTATTGCTCATAATCATATGGAGCTTTTCCTTCATTTATATACATGTGTGGAATCGATTAGATATTGGAATAAAAATCAATATAGGATAATGTACATTCAGAAATAATAATGTGAGTGTTATTGGTCAATTACAATCGGATGGGAAATAAGACGAATATTTTTATAGTCATAATAAGCTACTCGTTAGAATGATGTGATGTGTTTGAATTGAAATAGAATTTTAAGATTAATTATTGTTCTCCTCTGATTTGACCGGCGG